CTTGACCTACGATTTCAATTGACGTCAACACGGGACCTTGCAAAAGTTGGGCAGGGAGGGAAACAGAATCATGCCATTGTTCTTGTCTTATTTGGTGGAAGATATAGGTATGATTAACTTTAAATATTGTTTGAACAATGTAACATTATGGATACACGTTAAAAATGCAAGGGTTATAACTAGAAGTAAAGAAATAGAATGTAAAGCTTTCCAATTAGTAGTTCAATAAAAGGCAATACAGTAGGAAAAAGTCTGGAAATTGTGGCAAGTAGAAAATAAAATAGGACAGCAGAGATTAGTCCGAACAGACCATTAAACACAATCAATATGAATAGGCTAAACTCACCTACTGAGAGACTGGATAATAAAAGGAAAACCAGCCCTAGATGGTGAAGTGGAAACAAAACATAATGATGTGGGACGGTTGACGATAACAAGGCACCTTAAGCAAACGCTAACAAAAGGAAAGCAACTGGAACTATAGTAATATCAGACAAAATAGAACTTAAAAATACTGAAAGGGACTAGAACTATTTCATCTTGCTAAAAGTTACACAAAGATATAACAATCATAAATTGTAATATGTCTAACATATCTAACTTTCAAACTAACTTTCAGTCTGACATAACACAACTTTCAAAACACACAAAGCAAAAAGAGATATCACCTAAGAGAGAAACTGACAAATGCACAATCATATTGTCAACTCCAGGGCTCTACTTCTGAAACTGAAAGATCAAGTGGGCAAAAAAATAAAAAGAAAAAATAGAGAATTTGAATAATATAATTAAGCTTGATCTAAAATATATTTCCAATATTTATATTTTTACATGCAAAATGGAAAAACATATTCCTTTAAGCGTACTTATAACCTCAAAAAAACTGTGTGGGTTGGCCCTGTGGCTGAGTGGTTCAAGCTCTGCTTTGGCAGCCCTGGTTTGCTGTTTTGGATCTGGGGTGTAGACCTACTCCACTTGTCAGCCATGCTGTGGAGACGTCCCACATACAAAATAGAGGAAGACTGGCCCAGATGTTAGCTCAGGGCTAACTTTCCTCAAGCGAAAAAACAGGAGGATTGGCAACGGATGTTAGCCCAGGGTGAATCTTCCTCACACACACACACAAAATGTCATGTAGTAGGCCTCAAAGGAAATTTGAAGAAATTCCTCTTCGCCCGTAAGTTGATAAATTACAAGACTTATTCATTGGTAACAATTCAATAAAATTAGATAGCAGTTATGAAAGAGAGCCAAAAATCTATTTTTACATTAACTAAGTAACTTTTGGAAAAAGAGGAAATAAATATAAATGATGACCAATTTAGAACAAAATTTACAGCGTATGGCCAAAGCAGTGTTCAGAAATAGTTCTTAAGGTTTGTTTTCTATGTTAGTGTTAGCTTTTTAAAAATTTAATTTTTTTCTAAGAGCTTCTCTCTGTTCAAAAGTTGAAACTATATAAAAATAGAAACATTTCGCTTCCATTCCTATCCTCTCTGCCTTGCCCCCACCCCCTCACCCTCATAGGTAACTTTATTTTTTTAAATGAGTTTTCTATTTATGTTTTTTGCACAATGTCGGAAATATTATATGCATTCTTTTTCCATTCCCTTTTTACACAAAAGCTTTCCTTCTTTGGCAGATATTTTTCCGTTAACTAAGACGCTAGCTTTTGTGTAGAGGAATCTATTAACTTCTATTTTTTTCTTATTTTACAATCAGGAATGGGTGTTAAATTTCTCAAGCGTTTTTCAGCTTCCATGGCAATGGTCACTTTTTTTCTCCTTAGAAAAAAATTAATATTATTAGTAGCTTGAATTATTAAACATGACAATTTATCTGGACTGTGCTTGATTTTCCATCCATCTTTATCAACAATTGTAAACATTCAAAACATCCTTTATAATTGGAGCTTTCTTTCTCATGTAACATGTTTCAGAAATTCAGGAATATACTAAATAAAGACTAATACGTTTTCCAAAGACTTTTAAAGAATAGACTTTCCATAGATTTATTTATTTCTCTCATTCCTTGAAACATTTTGTTTAAGCTTGAAATTTTGGCTTTTAAGGCTACCTGCTACCTACCATTGCATTTCAATAATCAGAAAAATCAGAAATATTCAGCTACCAAGTAAAAATGTTTAAAGAAGTTCTTCCTCCTTACATTGTCACCTCCACGCAGCAATGTTCCTATCTGGAACTCCAAGTAAGATAGAAAATGAGAGACCGTTTCCAGTGTCGTTTGGGGGACAATACGTGGTTGGTTACCCTGGTTAAATCAGGCTTGTTTGTGTCTCCAGCCCTCTAGGCATTTGAAGGTTGTTTGGGTCAAAGAGAAATCTTGTCCCAGGCTTCTACTTTTCATTATTCTCAATGATTTAGAATTTGGAATTTAGTAACCATAAATTCAAAGCTGAGCACTTGTGCAACCGAATCGAGTCCTGCAGGCGTGTTGTTTCCATCTCTAATGATGTGAAGTGGATTCAAATCTTTCGCCACCAGCCTCTCCCATTCGCCAGTCCTTTCTCACTCCGCTGTGGAGGAAGAGGCTTTAACACTATTTCTAAGTAAGACTTATTTTCAACAGATTCATGGAAAGACTAGGGCATAATACAAAGTAACAGATCAGTATGCTCCGCAAAGGGGTTTCCTTTCTCATTCTTTCAGTTTATTTTCTCTTTACTTCTATCTATATCTTTCGACCTCAAAGTTCTCAATCTGCTTGTCAAATACCTTCTCTAGCAGCTTCTTCCATCTCTATTTGTGTGGGAATCAGTCTGCACAAGCACTGCATTGAATAGTGCATTGCTGTGTTGATCTTCCCTATGGGGATGGGGATGTTGTGGTTGTTATATTTCGTGTGCCCTGAAAGGCTTAGGGGACGTGTTACACATAAAGTGTTAGGAGTTTCCCCTTTCTTCTTAAACAAAAACCTTTTCAAAGAAATTATTTCAGAGTAGATACATATCCGTTTCTACTTTTACAAAAAATTTTGCATGGAATCTGAGAGAAATCATGATTAGATTAGTTGGAAGGTACTGAGAATTACCTACCCCAGCTCATTTGACATGTGAGAAAATGCAGGCACAGAGTGGCTGAGTGACTTGCTGAATAACACACAGGAAAAAGAAGCACATGGACAAAGGATAAAGGAAAGGCCTGCATGAAGTGTACTGATCTGGATTAGTGGCCAGAAATACAACTCAGAACTTATTTTCTGTTCATGGCTATTTTGACCACAAGAGGAAAACTGGTCAGCCTACATTGGAAGGTCAAGGAAACAGAGAAAGTTTTGTCCTCAAAACACAAATCACTGTCAGCCCATTGTAAAAAAATAAAGGTCATTTATCATTATTCTCACTGTTATTGCTTGCTCCCTCTGCTGAAGGCCTAACCACACCACTATGTCTTGGCTTCTTTCTCATCCAACATCGGCCATTTCTGAGCATTGATTCACCAATGCTCTGTGGACCGTTTCTGCTCCCTTTAGGCTGAATTAATTCTTTTATTGGTACTTTTTATTAATTCATTGGCAGAATGTTTTTCCACATTTTTATAAGAGCTTTAGCTCTGAAAGAAGTATTTATTATACATGTACTTTAACCCCAAAGGAAACCAGAAAAAAAGTAAACTGGAATAAGAAATTAATTTTCAATTTACAGGGATATTAACAGATGAAATATGGTCAGAAAAAAATTCCTAAAAGTAAAATAACCACCCTGCCATTCAATCCTTGCCACTAATGTGGTTTGTCATAATACCAAATTAAATCCATTTTTAAAAAATATTCTGTGTTCTACAAATATTTTTCCTAAACTTAAGCAAAAGGAAAAAGTCCATTCAAGGTAATAAATATTAGAGTGCTTACTATTTGTAAGGCACTGTGGTGGGCCTCGACAAGGATACTAAAATAAGTAAGTCCCTGCCCTTGGTAGCAAGTGTGTGTCTTTGTCTTTCAAAGTCTTTGCACTGACAAAAGTCTCGCGTCTGTGAGGGAATCATGTCAATTCCCACACTCCTGCTCCTTTGTCACCAGCAGGTCATATGAGTCACCTGACAACCTTAAAATCACAAAATCCCTGCCCTCATGGAATTTGTATCCTAGGGTGTGCGTCGGGGTCGGGAGGAACAGAAAATAAGCAAATAAGTAAAATATATAAGTGTTATAGAGAAAAATAGAGCAGAGAGGGGGCTTAGGGAATTCTCGACTTGGTGATGTTGCAATTTCAAATACGGTTGGCAGGGAGGGTCTCATCAGAAGGGGACCTGAAATAATGAGCTGGGTGAAATAAAGGTGTTAGCCAAAAGATTTATGTGGCAGAGCATTCCAAGCAGAGGGAACAGCAAGTGTTAAGGCCCTCAGTTGGGAGTATGCCTGGTCGTGCAAAGATGAACTAGGAGCTAGAAGGCCAGTGTGGCTGGAATTGGCCCACTAGGGAGAGAGCAGTAGGAGAAAGTTTAGAGAGCAAAGAAGGTGGAGAGACTTTGGGTTTTACTCAGTTGAGAACCACTGGAGTATTCTGTCAAGCAGAGGAGTGACATGATCTGATTTTCAGCTTAGGTGGTTCATGACCGGCCAGAGGAAGGAACACAAGACGCTACCACAATATCCAGTAAGGAGAGATGACTGTGGTGAGAAATGGTCAAATTTTGGATATATTTTGTTGGTGGAGGCATCAGGATTTGCTGAAGGACCAAAGGTGTGATGGGAGAGAAAGAACCACGTCAAGTTGCTGCCAGTTTTGGAAACCGGTGCCTGGGAGGGCAAAAATCCCTTTCCCGCCCTTCTTGTGTTCTTATGGGTGAACTAATAACAAAACTGACACAAAGCCAGACTAACAGGAGAAACACCCAGTTTGATACGTATGTATTGGAGATCATAAAGAAACGATGCACGGAGAGTGAACAAAGCAGGCAGTATATATATTTTCTACACAAAGAAACACTAAATTTGTGAGGAATCACAGGACAAAGAAACTTACATTTGAGGTAAGTAAAAGGCGAGGAACTGCAGCAGAGTTTAGGCTTGAGGTAATAATTAGTAAGATTTGTTTCTGCAGACTTCTGCCCCCTGAATCCCCAGCTCTGTGATAAGGATGCAGGGAGGGTACCTTTCACATGGGAGATTCATTTCATGCCTTCAGTGGGAAAACACACAGGAGGGTCAGAATGCTCTTTTTGCTTCTTAAGTAACTCTAATTCAAAAGAGTCAATATGCTATTGTGGGATATTTTGGGGTCGTCTAGCCCTGGGCTCCAACGCCAGTCACATTCTCACTATCACCTTTGCAAAAGGTGGAGATTCGTAAACGTCCTGATTCTACGCTTCCATCTCAGACTATTCGATCAGAGTCTCCAGGCCCGTGGCCCTGGAAACAATACATCTATTTAGAAGGCTTCCCACTGATTCTTCTGCAGCCAACGCGACTCCAGCTAACGAAACTTGCCAGCTCAGGACTCATTGAGTTACATGAACGAGGCCACGCCTTCAGGGTACATAGTAGGAACATAGCCCTGTCCAAAGTACTTGGGTTGGTGGGCTTCCGAAGGGAGAGATTAATCCCACGCTCGTCCCCCGCGCAGAAGGCAGGAACCCTGTAAGACGCCTGAAGTGGGTCGAGCTAGTCATGGAAGGCTTCCTGGAGGAGCCCGATTTTGACTAAAGCTTTCTCAGGCCTGTATCAGGACGGAAAGGGTGAGGATGAATGAGAAAGACAACACAGTGTGACGTCCGGGTGAGAAGCGACGCACACCGGACCTCTGCCCCGGACGCTGGCTTTCAGCAGTCCCGGCGAAAGCGCGACTCCGCGAAAGCCACGCCCCCCGCGCCCGGCTCCAGCCCGAAGGACCAGCTCGTTGCCTGCCCGCCACTGCAGCTCGGGTTTCCGGTAGGTTTTGATTTTAGAGCGGACCAAACCGGATAAAGGTCGCGCGTCCTCTTCCGCTCGTGCACCGGTTCACTAATCCGCGGCTTCGGAGGGGCGGGCACCCGCCGTCCCTTTGCGCAGGCGCCGTCTGCGGTCCACGCGCGGCGCGATGCCGGCGCGGCACGTCTCGCGGGTCCGGGCCTTGTATCGGCGCCTCCTGCTGCTGCACCGGGTTCTGCCCCCAGACCTCAAAGCCCTTGGCGACCAGTACGTGAAGGACGAATTTAGGAGACACAAGACCGTTGGTTCTGAGGAGGCCCAGCGTTTCTTGCAGGAATGGGAGGCAAGTGACTGCCCCCTTTGCTTCGCCCCAGACCTTTGGGGTCCCTCAGAGGTGTCCAGGCTTGTCCATGCGAATGACCTCCTGTCGCGGCTGGTTTCCCCGGGCCCACGCAGGTCAACACAGCGGCAGTCTGTTCCGTTTGATTTAAACAGCGCAAAGCTGTTCGAACAGTACTTCCCAAAGTTGCATCCCGAACCCGTCTGTTTCTCCCGCGGGTTCCTGGCTGGTGCCGGTTCCGTTACATCAGCGTCTCCAAGTCAGGGTAACTTTTTGAGCTCGTGCCCGGGCCCGGTGCTGGAGGGGTGAGGATGCGAGCTTACAGAGTTGAGTAAATCGCCGTCCAGTTCCCCAAGAGCTGACCATCTAGCAGCTTTTTGACTTCTCCAGTGCCCTGCACGTAGCAAGCGCCTATTAATAAATTAATGATTTTCTCGTTACTTAGTTTTCAAACTTAGAGGCTTGTTTCCATAATTACTATTTAAAAAAAATTTCAGTGCTTTTTGTTGGGTCTTAATAATGTTCTCAGTGGACTGATAAATCAGATAAGTCTGTGTGGGGTACGACAAGCGGTGAAGGAGAAAAACGCTGGTCAGAGTGAAGGCAGGTGAAAGTTGGTTTCTCCAGAGTCTCAGGTGTCGGTACCTGGTTACATTGCTCTGCGTCATTGCACTAAATCTTAAGCAGACGCCTGCGTTAGAGATTAGCCTTTTGACTTTTTTTTGAGTGAAAGGAAACGATATTCAGAGTATGTCGAGAGGCTAGGGCCCTGCAGGGTTGCCCCTAGTTCTTTTTTGCAAATAATAAGAAATTAATTGGAACTGAAGATTAAAGCGACATCTCAGGTATTTGAAAGCATGAAGCAGTGTTGGTAAGAACAGAGGTAGGCAAGTTTTCAGCCTAAAAAGTCGATGGCTAAAGAGATGACTGAAATCTGTTTTTAAAAAAATCATAAAGGTTATGATTAGGGTGAATATAGAGCTTTTTCACTGAATCCGAGAGTTCTTGATAGTAAAATCATTGAAGATTGCAGGAGGAACATTTAGGACTGGTGAAATTTAGAACTTTCTTAAAAATCGTGTGTTTTAGATGTATTTGGCCTGCCTGCAGCCAGGGAAGTTGAATCTTTTAAAATGCAGACTGCTTTCGTTGAATATAGTAACTTGGTCTTAGGGCCAGAAGAACTGGGTTCAAGTTCAGGTATAGTAACGGTATTTACAATACGAATCTCTAATTAGTGTATGTAAATATATTTCAAAGCACTTTGTTAGTTGGAAGGAAACTAAAATATTAAGGTGTTTGTTAAGTGATATGATATCTTTTAATATCACTTAGGTCATTTTGTGGCAGGATGGGAAGGAAAGTCTAGCTTTGTGTTGGGAAGAAATAAGGGCACTTTGAGAGGTCTTAAAGTATAAGAACTTGGGACGCTTTTAGGGAGAGAGTCAGAACTCAGAATAAATTGATAATAGACTGGAGGACAGACAGTGGCATAAAAAAACCTGGGTAAATAAAAAGTGTGTTGATTGACCTAGGTGGCTTGGTATCAGGAATTCAGCCTTTTTTTTTTTTTTTTTAACCCTTGAAATAATTTTAGACTTACAGAAGAGTTACAAAGACACTACAGAGTTCCCATACATCCTACACCTAGCTTCTCCTGTGCTAACGTTTTATAAAACCATGGTGTAATTAAAACTAAGAAATTGACGTTGCTACACTACTATTAACTACAGGCTATATTTGCATTTTGCCAGTATTTTCACTAATGTTATTCTAATCCAGGATCCCATGTTGTATTTAGTCATCCTGTCTGCTTAATTTCCTCTAGTCTATGACAGTTCCTCAATATTTTATCTTTCATGTCCTTGACACTTTTTTAAAAGGTCAGTTATTTTGTAGAATCTCTCTCAATTTGGGTCTATGTTTTCTCATGATTAGATTGGTGTTATGCATTATAGGGAAGTACACCACAAGGGTGATGTGCCCCTCTAAACACATCATGTCAGAGGGCACGTGATATCAACATGACTCATTATTACTGGTGATGTTAACTGTGATCACTTGGTTAAGGTGATATCTGCCAGGTTTCTCCATTGTAAAGTTACTGTTTTCCCTTTTGAAATGAATACATATTTTGAGGGAGATGCTCGGCTATACAAGCATCCCCTTTCTCCTTAAACTTTGCCAGCTCATTTAGCATTCATTGATGGATCTTGCCATTGTGTTCTAATTTAGGTGATTTTCTATTTCCCTCATCCCTTCTAAATTTATTAGTTGGAGTATTTCTGTAGGGAAGTGTTGTCCTTTCTTCCCCATTACTGATCTAGCATCTTTTGGAATGTAGAAAAGTGTGTTCCATGGGGCTAGTGTTACTGTGCAGAGGGCACTATCTGCTCGCCACCAGACAAAAGCCATTCGTCAAAAGGCAAGATGGTGGCAGAGAGAAAGGGTGTTTATTAAGTGATAAGCTAGCAAATCAGAAGATGGGGGACTAACATCCTAAAGAACCATCTTAAGCAGGGCACAGAATCTTGAAGCAGTTTTATAGGTCAGTGGGTTATAGGGGAGGGGTTAGGAATGTTGACCCTCTGGTGTTACAGATTGGGAGTTGCCACACCAGATCTTGCACTTGTCATGGGTATCAGAATAGAATCTCTGTCTGGGAGCCATCACATTCCTAGGGAACTAGGAAAGAACAAAATTATCATCTTATTGCAGCTGGGAGGTACATATATAAGCAGGGGCCATAAAATCTACAGAGCATGTATGTCTCCTGGAGGGTGCATATCTACCTGGGTTAGTTGATCAGAGGCCATTCACAGTTACAGTATGGTTTCCTTTCTACAGTATGGCTTCCCTTATGTCAGTCTTGTGTTGAGCTGGTATCACTAGGGCCCTGTAGTTAATGAGTTAGCAGCTGGGTAAAGGTAAGTTTAAAGCTAGTGATCTAACTATTTGGATAAAATAATAATTCTTACAGTTGCAAAGCAGTTCACTTTAAGCCTGGGAGTTAGAAGGGGTGGGGCGGATTCTACCAACTGAAAAGGATGAAGGCTAGAGAATATTCTAATGACTTGGAGGGGAGGAAAACTTGTCTAGGGCAGTGATCCCAGAGAGTGATATCCTTCAGCCTTCTAAGTCTTTTTTTTTGCCCCATGTTGCATAATTTATGATTATGTTATACTTTCTTTTTGTATGATTGGCCCTGAGCTGACATCTATTGCCAATCTTCCTTTTTTTTTTCTAGCTCTTTTTTCTAGCTCTCCTATGTGGGATGCCACCACAGCATGGCTTGATGAGCAGTGTGTAGGTCCATGCCCAGGATCAGAACCCACGGACCCCAGGCCGCTGAAGCAGAGCGCATGAACTTAACCACTCAGCCATGGGACCGGCCCCTGTTTATGTTATACTTGATGCACCTAGTTATGGCATGTGTCGATCATGGAAAAACTACTATAATTTAAGCAGCAGATATTTATTTGGGCAATCAGAATTGCAATTCGGGAGACACAGATTCAGGCAGAAACCCAAGTGTGCTCCGATTACAGGAGAGGGGCTTAGGGCTTTTATGGGAAAAAGGGAGTGTGAGGTGCGTTGTGTTAAAGAAGAGTTCATTGGTGCTCGATGAGGTAAGGCTAGGTTTGTACTTCATAGATTGGCTTGAGATTCAGTCATCAGGCAAAAGGCCAGACTTGTTCACTGATTGGTTAGCAGTTCCATCATCAGCAAAGTCCAGTTTTATCACTCCTTACAAATAGGATATTCTTGTCCTTACTAACTCCTTGGAATGTTGGTGGTGTGGTTCAGTTTGAAAGATAAAGAAAACAAGACATGTAAGGCAATTCCTCTGAAATGGCTGCTCTGGCTCTATTTTAATATGACTCCATTGATGTCGTCTTTTACACGTGGATTTCTATTGTTTTTTGGTTAATGATGATTACAGAGTTGGCACATGTTATGTGAGTATTACTAGCTTGATGCTTATGTTTATATCAAGCTAACTGAGAGTAACACGATTGTGGACTTTCTGTGCTATGTGGGGTTTGGTCTCTGGGATTCTCTCACTTCTAAAATTATTTATGAACTTGAATGGATTCTGAATTTGTTTTACTTTAAAGGGCAAAGTTGGGTATGGGTACCACTGGAGAAAAGAAAGGGGAAGGATCAGGAATGTTAAAGGCCTGAGTATCAGGAGGAGAGTTCTCTATGCCCTTCATTTGTGATCACGGAAAACCGTGGCAAATATGAGAGGGAATTCAGCTGGGAAATTTCTGTTCAAGGACTATTTGGAGGAAGGGAAGAGGAAAGTATTTCATTTTATCTTAAGGATAAAAATGTAAATACGTATTCACAGAGTAAATAGTGAATTGATATAATTCCTTATCATGTGAGAAAAAAACGTAAGTTCAGAAAGAGATGTTGGGAATTTGTTAGGGAGAATGTTTGAAAACTGGTTGGTAAAATAACCATCATAATCTTACTCCTGAGTCTTTTATAAGAAAGGCAACTATGAGAAGTGGAAGTGGGGCTGCGTAGATCAAGAGTCTTACTTAGGGGGCGGGCGCCATGGCCGAGTGGTTAAGTTCGCGCGCTCTGCTGAGGTGGTCCAGGGTTTCGCTGGTTCGTATCTTGGGCGCGGACATGGCACCCCTTGTCAGGCCACATTGAGGCGGCGTCCCAC